CTCAAAAAAAAAAAAAAAAAAAAAAAAGAGAAATCAAGCTAAAGGACAGGGGATGGAGGAGAAAATTAATTCCCTGCCACCAGCAGCTGCATTGTTTGTTTGTCACAGCTGGTTTGCTACGGGCCACTGATAAAAAGAATAAAACCCAACCGGCGCTGTACTCCTCCCGGGTGCTTTGGTTACCTAACAGGCCGCTCCTTTTAAAAAGGAAATACAGCATTGCACTGAGCTTTATGCTATTTTAAAACAATACCAATCATCTTAAATGCTTCTCTAGCTAACGAGGGGCTCTGGAGTACATCAGATGATGATGCCATTTTGGTGGCCGCAGCCAGGACAGCCCAGGTTCAGCGCCCGCCCTAGAAGAGGCAGCAGTTTTCACAACTCATTTAGGGTTTGGCTTTGTTCGCTAGCAGATGTTTTTCTGTTGTCATATTAAGCCTCTGCATTAGCAGATTATTTTCCTTAAAGCCACCAATAAATCAATGACAATTAACCCCCCTCCAAAGCTTCCAGATTGTGGGAAGTTTCCCGGCTGCTTGTTCCCTTTCCACAGAGCAGGGGGAATCCAGGAGTGCCCAAGCCGGCAGCCACAGGCTGGGGACGTGGGCTGCGGACACGGGCTGCAAAGAGCATCCCCTCCATCCCCCCCTCCCATGTCAGCAGAGCCGCCGGTGGGTTTTAGCCCTGCACCTCCAAATCGGCATTCACAGGCCGCCGGGGGATCTCCCAGGGAGCAGGTCCTGGCTCCGTGCACAGCCACAACAAGCAGCAAATGACCTCAATTCTTAAAAAAAATCCCCTTGGAAATTTCACTCTAAAGGAATGCAGTGTTGGAGGTAAACAATCCAGAGTTCATGGGCATCCTGCTCGAGGGGGATGCTGCTTGAGCAGGGGGGCAGACCAGACAATCTCCAAAGGCCCTTCCAACCTCAACCACTCTCTCATTCATTGATCCAAAGCTAATCGCCAGCTCAGGATATATATTTTTATATATTCCTTACACACACCCCCATATAATTATTTGTAGATATGTATTTAATTAGACAGAGATATGAGGGCCAAAAAGCGGTCTATAAGCAAGCACAGAAATTAACTCTTTGCCGCTCAGCGCTATGAACAGCTCCAAAAAGGAGCGTGCACCAAAATTGGCAAAACCAGCCTCCAGTTGCATTAAGTATGTCTGGGCACGCTCTGCTTACCCGAGCCTGCCGCACCCCTGTGCAAACCCGTCCTGCAACAGAGGGCAGTGCCTCAAATCCCACATTTCAGCCCCAAATCCTGTCTCGATTTCCCAGAGACAGCAGGCAGGCAAAGGCAGCAAGCCCAGTCTCTCCCGCTGCCTGCACCGCTCTGCCGGAGATGGCAAAAGCTGCAAGAGAAACCTGCCCTTTTTCCCCTAAGACCGCAACCTGCTTGCAAAGCAAAGGTTGCACCTAACGACTCCTGTCCAAAAATCTGCAGCCGGATATTCCCAGCTTCGCCTGCGTTGCTCCCACCCCAGTGATTTTGCAGGGGGAAGATGCAAAATGATGGGGGGGGCTGAAAATGGCCCTGATGCCCAGGAGCACCTGGCTGCAGCCAAGCTCTGCTGTAGCACAGACAAGGAAAAACTACGTGCGAGTGAGAAAAAGCAGAAATATCCATTGTTTTCAGGTTTTTTTTAAAATCACAAAGGTGTCCGTCCCTCCCTGAGTGGCTCTCAGACATGATCTGCTGCTGGATTAGCGGGCGGCTGTCTTTAGAAAGAAATCAGGCTTTCTCCACCGGCACATGGAGAGCGAGCTGAACAGCAGCCAACTTCAGGAGAAGCCATTTCACAGAGGGGGATTTGGTGCTGATTTTCTCCCCAGCATCCCCTCTCCTTCCCTTGACCAGCCACCTGCATCGGTACGATTCGGAATACAGAGGAAAGATGATGCTTCTGCCTTTGCAGGTTGCTCGTGAGTGCCCAACACAGCGCAGCATCCGTCCGGCAGCAGGTCCCACGTGGAAGGTGGTTTTGCAAAAGTGAATTTGAGTCTTTTTCTGGTGCCACGGGGCCGGGAAGTGATGGGATGGAGAGGGCGGACGGAGGGTAGCAAGCAGGGTGATCCGCCCCAAGACAAGGGGGGGAAAAATGCCACCAGGCTCCATGCTCACCCCATCCCAAAGCACCTGGGGAGCCCGTCCACCCACGGGGAGCCAGCATCCTTCCCACAGCCGCTTCCCTTATTTGGTGCTCAGGAGCTTGGATCCTGTACGGTTTCCAAGAAGTTGCCATGGTGACGAAATGTAACCCAGAATGATGTTTTTCTGGCGCTGCGCCCCTTCTCCTCTCCGCCCCGTCCCCCTCCTGAACCCAGCCTGGGTTTAGTGTTGCGCCAGGGATGGGGTGAGCATCCCTGCCCTGCTGCATCAGCTCACTGGGGTGCCCCGAATGTGGCAGCCCCCTCCCTGGGGCTTGAGGACGGGCTACGCCTAACACGTCAGCTCTTGGCCATGGACAGAGGAGGCATCTTCCCTGGAGCATCACCAGAGCCAGCACTCAAGGGGCTGTGACGACCCCAGCCCTTGGCAGGGGGTGGCTCAGACTTCCAGCTTGGTGTGCAAAAAAGGATCATCTTCCCCCCGTTTTCTTTTCCCATTGCCCAGAACCTCTTTATCTGGTGGAGTGGTGGAAACTTGATTCAAACAAACGCTGTACAAAACCCACCCATGGCCTGGTTTGCAGCAGGACCATCCTGGGGACTTCATAGAAGGGGACCTGAAAACCGGGGCTCAGGGGAGTCCCGGTGCTGTTTTCAGTTCCCCAGTGCCGCAGCTCGGCTCGGCCGGAGGCACCCTCCCAGCCGGTCCCCCGCGGCGGAGGGACATGCGCCCGGAGGTCAAGCGGCCTCAGGGACGTGGCTGTTCTCAGCCCCGGCGAGGGACGAGGGTGGCCTTGGGGTCACGTTCCCCATCTGTGGGATTCTCCCCCACTCTGGCCACGTGGGAGCCCGGCAGGAACGAGTGAGTCACGGCCAGCCCCGCTTAGAGGACCGCGAAGCCACCGCCGGGTCCCTGGAGAGCCCGGCTCCGGCCCCCGGAGCTCCCAGCCTGGCCCTGGCCTCTAGTATTTTCCTTTCATTCCCATTATCTCTGGGGTCATCTCAAAGGGGGTAACCGGAGCCTGATGGAATTTCATCCTGTTTCTGCCGAAATGGCCCGTGAACGGCCAGCACCTCTCCCCGGTCCCCCACGGGGACCACGCGGCTTTGCAGCCGCCCCCCGGACAGCCCGT